TTTCAACAGTGGTTAAATGTTTAATCAGTTAGGAGACATTGGGTTTTGCCGCTCTGTGTCGGTTTTTTTTGGGGGGCAGTGATTGCCCGTATAGAAAATACAAAAAATACAAAGAGTACAAACAACACAAAAAAAAGAAAAAACAAGGAGCACAACGGTGCAACACACTAAGGCTGGATACAATAATCTCTGGGTATTTACTAAGGGTTTCACAGCGCTTTCAAGCCGACTCACGTTGAGTACATTGAGTCATTTTTCGCTGTTCTGCGTGCGGTGGTACTGATTATTGTGTTGTCGGTTAGGTGCTCTGGGCTATGTCTTGTGACCGTCTGCGTCGTGTCATGGTGGTTATGCTGTCGGTTTGGAGTTGCGTCCGTTGGCTATACTCAATATCGGTCCGTCCCATGAGCCATCCCAAGTCGGGGTCTATTGTGGGCGCGGATGGCGGTGCCCTGTCATTGTTTCTTGTGGCCGTGGGTGGCTTCATGGAGGGCCCCCAGTGACGGGTCGTGCTTTGTCAGTGGTCATTGTGCTGTGCTTTGTAACCGTAATACTAGTTTGTAGATGTGGTGTAACGTCTAAAGGTGGGACGGGGGGGAGGGAAGGGGAGCGCTGTTCGCTGGGGCGTGCGGCGGATCTAGGCCCTTCCGAGGCCTCTGTCCTTATCCTGCTTATGTAGGATTTAGTCGTCGAGATAGTCTTCCCAAGGTTGCCATATTTTATGAAATGTTTTCTCCGTGTTCCTAATTTGGGCTGTGAGTTTGTCCATCAGGTGTGTGTCTTTAACTTTAGCTATCACGTCGTCGTCTGTAGGTAATGTGGGCTTGAGCCACGCCTGGGCTAGAGCCCTTCTGGCCGCTAGAGTGATTTTATTGTAGAGCTGTTGTTCTTTTCTAGGGAGGCCGTCTATGGGTTTGGACAGAAGAACCGTCCATGGGTCTAGATCTATACTGTTCTTTAGCACGTCAGTTAGTAGTGTCTGTATGCGCTTCCAGTATTTGTTTAGTTCTGGGCATTCCCACCACATGTGCACAAAGGTGCCTTTACCACCACAGCCCTTCCAACAAGTGTCTGTCGTAGTTTTCCCCATTCTGTGTAGCTGCACTGGTGTTGTGTACCATCTCATGAGCATTTTATATGACTGTTCTTGGTGCAATACACAGATTGAGGTTTTAGCTGTCGCCTCCCAGATGTCCACCCAGTCCTCTCCTTCCAGTGTCGCCCCCAGGTCCGCCTCCCATTGGTCAATATAACGTGGGAGTTTAGCGTCTTTACTTGGGGCGCTGAGTTGTGCGTATATAGTGGTTATTAAGCCTTTTTGTACGGTTTCGGCATTGCATAGTTGTTCATAAAACGTCATTGGGGTGTGGGCAGCTTTTCTGACTTCTGGGGATTTGGCAAAGTCTCGTAATTGGATATGGCGAAATACATCTTTTGTGGTCAGGGGTGCTAAGGTTTTCAGGCTATCGAACGTTCTGAAGGAGTCTCCTTCGTACATATGGCCATATCTCTGCATCCCCGTACTCTCTATGCCCCTAAAGTCGAGTGCGCTCAGCCCGGGTTCAAACGCTTTGTTCCTCAGATACGGGGTTAGTGGTGAAGGTGTGTGTTTAAGTGCATATTTGGTAGCTGTGTTGTCCCATATTCGAATGGAATTTAGGATTGCCGGGCAGGTGGTCCGCAGGGCCGGTCTGTCTTGTCTGGGTACCCATATCCAGAATTGTGGGAGATCGGTACTCATCAATTTCGTTTCCAGATCGACCCATCGATGTGAGCCCTCTGGTGCGTGCCAAGCCACTATTTGGGCTAATTGGGCCGCCAAGTAATATTGATACAGGTTTGGGAGTCCTAATCCTCCCTTTGATTTCGGTCTGTATAACACTTGTCTAGCTACTCTATGTCGTTTCTGTGCCCATATAAAGTTATCTATGTGTCTTTGCAGCGTCGTTAGGTCCCGTTTAGTGACTTTGATCGGCAGGGCTTGGAATAGAAACAGTAGACGAGGTAGCAGTGTCATTTTTATCGCGTGTAGTCTCCCTATCCATGAGATTGGCTTGTCTTGCCATTTTTCTAAGTCCTGGCGTAGTTTTTGTAATGTGGGTGTGTAATTTGCTTCATACAGTCTCTCCGGGTCTGCCGTTAGTTTAATCCCTAAATATTTGATGTCAGTTCTTATAAAGTTGAGGGGATGGTTAGCTTTTATGGCGCTGATCTCTGCTGTCTCCATTTCCAGTGGCATGGCCATTAACTTTTCTAGATTAATTTTATAGCCCGATACCCGTCCGTAGTCTTCGAGGAGGTCGAGGAGGCGTGGCAGGGACCCCCGAGGGTTGGCAAGTGTGACCATGATGTCGTCCGCATATGCAGAGACTTTGTATTCCTCCCCTCCTGCCCTAATGCCCATAATGTTCCTATCCTCCCTTATTCTCAATAGAAGAGGCTCCAGTGCCAGGACAAACAGCAGAGGGGAGAGGGGGCAGCCCTGTCTGGTGCCGTTGGCAGTCTTGAACGGAGTCGGTGCTGTCCCCGGTACCGCTGTTTGGGCTTGTGGTTCTGTGTAAAGTGCTTTTATTCCCTGTATGAATGTTTCTGGCATACGTAGGTGCCCTAACAGTGAGAAGAGGTAGTGCCACTGGACCCTGTCGAACGCCTTCTCCGCATCCAGGGATAGGATCAGAGAAGGCGTCCGGGTCCTCACCGCCCACCATATGACATCCGCCCCCCTCCTGGTATTTTCGTATAATTGTCGCGATGGTACAAAGCCGACTTGGTCTGGGTGGACCAGTGTGCTCAGGAGGGGATTGAGACGTGTCGCTAGGATTTTTGCAAACACCTTAACATCAAAGTTAATCAGTGAGATGGGCCTATAGTTCCCGGCCTCAGTAGGATCTTTACCTGGTTTAGGGATGAGGGTGATATCTGCTGTGAGAGTTTCTGGGTTAGGATGTCCCCCGTCCATCCATTCCCTGAATACCTTCACCAACCTTGGAGTCAACGTGTCTCTAAGGAGTTTATAGTAGGAACCATCGTAGCCGTCTGGGCCCGGAGCCTTGTTCCCTTTGAGTGCTGTGATTGCCCTATCTACCTCGTCCTCCTCTATCGGTGCGCCCAGGGCAAGTATGGCTTCCTGCGTCAGGCTCTTCATGTGGGTATTAGATACGTAGTCTGCGACCGTTCGTTTGTGGGACTCATTGTTGCTGTTCAGTTCTGGGGAGTGGTTATAGATGTTTACTAGAAGCTCCGAGAAGATTTGATTAATTTCCTTGGGGTTATGTGTCATCTGTCCCGATTTGTCCCTAATCGCCGTTATGGCCTTGAATTGTTGTTTGGGGTTTAGGGCCCTGGCTAAGAGGGTGTCCATCTTATTAGCGCGTTCGTAAAAAAGGCGTTTTTTACGGACTAGATCCTTCCCCAGGTCTTCGATCGCCAAGGTTCGGATCGTATGTTGAAGTGCCCGAAGGTCTTGCAAACCCCGTGTCGAGGGAGTTTGCTTATGCTTGGCTTCTGCCCTCCTAGCGCCTTTTGGAGCTCGAAGAGGGTTTCCGCCTTCTGTTTTTTCCGCCGAGTCGCTAATTTGATAAGGGTGCCTCGGATGACCGCCTTGTGGGCGGCCCAGATCGTTAGGTTGTTATTTCGTCCCGGACTAGTTTTGTCACCTCAGGGTCTTTGATAAGTGTGCTGTTCAATCTCCATTTCCATGGAGGCCTGGGCCCCGGGAGTCGTAAAATAAGCTCTATGTCGGCGTGATCCGACCACGTGATGAGGTTAATTCGTGCAGATTGGATCCATGGAATCCCTCTCTGGTTGACCAGGAATATGTCTATACGGGAGTATGTGGAATGTGCCGCCGAGAAGAATGTATAGTCTCTCTGTCCTGGGTGCCGCAACCTCCAGAGGTCGAGCAATTTCGTTTTGTGTATGAACTGGGATAGTAGTTTGTCCTGTCCCCCGGCCCTAGGTGTTCTCTGGCCCCCTGTCGGTGAGCTACGGTCGACTGGCGGGCTGGGAGTTGCGTTCATGTCGCCCCCCAGGACTATTATTCCGTATGACAGCGCGTGTATCCGGTTGTGTAGGTCGTCCCAGAAGTCTGGGTCTGGGTGGTTGGGTGCGTAGATGTTAATTAGATGGTATGTGGTGGTGTATACCGTCCCGGTGAGGATGATGTACCGACCCATGGTGTCAACTTGTGTCGTTTGGGTGACAAAGGGGCATTTTTTGTGCAGGAGTATTTCTACTCCGTTTTTCTTCACCAATGCTCTGGAGGAGTATGCCCTGGTGTAGAGGTGGTCAGTTAGCTGAATCCGGGCTGAGCGCAGTATATGTGATTCTTGTATGAAGGCTATGTCTGTTTTTTGCCGTTTTAGTTCTCTCATTAATAGACGCCGTTTGGTCGGAGTGTTAAGGCCGTTAACGTTTAGGGAGGTTAGTTTAAGCGTGGCCATAGTATTTTTTTGTTTCTTTACTGACTCCCACACATAAACTCTATTACTAAGTCTCATCCTACTTTCAGCTACTAGTTAAGTTCTCACAGGTGCGTTAATTTGTTTTACTCACAAAATAGTAATCCTGACATGTACTGCTCTCATGATAACCTTGTTATTGCAGTTATATTCTTACTTGCAAATTGTACCTTGAAGCACTACCAAAATAAAGAATAAATTTTTTTTTAAAACTCACAAAATGCAGACTCATTTGAACAGATCAGTCATACGCATCAAGACTTTGGAAGCAGCCAACCATGAATGTGCCCCAAACGTAGTGGTATTCACACCTGCCTGGACATGATCCACTTAACTCAGCGAGCCAGAGTTGTACTGAAGACCGCAAATAACTGGGACAGGAAAGAAAGGTGTCACACACCTTATTGCTACCACAGGGCAAGGGCATTTAGCCATAACCTTGCTATAGGCAGCCTTGCTCAAGTGACACCTAAGCCAATATTCCAGATAGCAAACAATGTGATCCACCACAAGCCACTCTGCAGATCTCGTATGATGAAGCTCATCTCGGTCAAAGAGTGGTTTGCCCTGCGAATGTAGGATTGCATCCCCTGCAATTATAGGCCAGCATCCTGCTACTCTGAGCAGAAAGGGCCTTTGTCCGAGTCACTCTCTGTCACATGTTCATCCTCACCTTGTGGTATCCGGGAGGATAACTACATTCCTGGCATTGGTGAAGATGCTGGTCGGTGGCCCTGTGCTGGTGTGTCTGGCTATTGTGGCGTACTGAAAGACGCTGGCCGCTGCAGATCCATACCAATTTGTAGCTCGACGTCCGCCCACGGTATTGACGACATCAGCGTGCGTGGGGTCATAGGTCGGGTAAAGGAGACTTATTTAAACTCCTTTCTTGCCTTCCCTCATTGCCCTGTCGTGGTTTCCCTTAATGGTTGTCCAAGAGTGTGTTCCTGAGCATTTATTTCTGGTTATTGACTTTGGCTTTGTTTGACTTCCCTGATTTCTGGTATCCTTGACTTTTGGTTTTCCC